AGGCAGGTGGATCATAAGGTCAGGAGTTCGAGACCAGCCTGGCCAACATAGTGAAACCCCAACACTAAAAAAAAAAAAAAAGCTGGACATGGTGGCGCACGCCTATAGCCCCAGCTACTTGGGAGGCTGAGGTTGCGGTGAGCCAAGATTGTGCCACTGCACTCCAGCCTGGGCAACAGAATGAGACTGTTCCACCCCTCCTCTCCCCATCCCAAAAAGAAATTGATGGCCAGGCATCGTGGATCACCTGAGATCAGGAGTTTGAGACCAGCCTGGCCAAGAGGTGAAATCCCGTCTCTACTCAAAAATACAAAAAAATTAACCGGACATGGTGACACTGCCTGTGATCCCACCTACTTGGGAGGCAGAGGCCAGCCTCCTAGGATGATTGCTTGAACCCAGGAGGAGGAGAACGCAGTGAGTCGAGATTGTGCCACTGCACTCCAGCCTGGGTCACAAAGCAAGACTCTATCTCCTAACAAAAACAAAAAACTGGGCGCAGTGGCTTATGCCTGTAATCCTAGCACTTTGGGAGACCAAGGTGGATGGATCACAAGGTCAGGAGTTCGAGGCTAGCCTGGCCAGCAATGTAAAACCCAAGCTCTACTAAAAATGCAAAAATTAGCCAGGCATGGTGGTGCACACCTGTAATCCCAGCTATTCAGGAGGCTGAAGTAGGAGTCAATTGAACGCAGGAGGCGGAGGCTGCAGTGAGCTGAGATGGTGCCACTGCACTCCATCCTGGGTGCAGAGCAAGATTCCATCTCAAAAAAAAAAAAAAAGAGAGGGAATCTTGCTGTATTGCCCAGGCTGATCTCAAACTCCTACCTCAGATTCCCAAATGTTGGGATTACAGGTGTTAGCCACAGCGCCTGATCTCATCAAATTCTAAGGTTATGAGGCTTAAAATGTACAGTGACATCTACAGCCTTTAAGTTGTGGTTCTATCATGTCAAAACTGCCTTATAGTCTGGGCGTAGTGGCTCACGCCTGTAATCCAAGAACTTTGGAGGCCAAGGTGGGTGGATCACCTGAGGTCGGGAGTTCAAGACCAGCCTGACCGACATGGTGAAATCCCATCTTTATTCAAAAAAAAAAAAGGAAAACGGCCTTACAACAGGCAGTGAGAAATGAACTCCTAGGAAAGGATTCTGCTCTGTTAATAAGCTGATGTTCATTCAATTGTCTGGTGAAAACAAATAGGAAAAGGCACTTTAATTGTTTCTGTGACAAGACTCCTGAGAGTTTACTATTTTCATCCATTTCCCCCAAAATGTCTATCATAAACCTTCTATAGCCATATACTTTACTAGAATCTAGGGATTTGCAAGTGCAGAACAATCTCTGCCCTCATGGAGCTTAGACTGGGGGTTGACGGGTGTCTGACTTTAAATTCTCAGCTATGATGGCATTTTGTCCATTTAATGTACGTTACTTAATTTTATGTTATTTTTGAGATGGAGTCTCGCTCTGTCACCCAGGTTGGAGTACAGTGGCATAACCTCAGTTTACTGCGACCTCTGCTTCCCAGGTTGAAGCAATTCTCCTGCCTCAGTCTCCAGTGTAGCTGAGACTACAGGTGTGTACCACCACACCCAGCTAATTTTTGTAATTTTAGTACAGACGTGGTTTCACCACGTTGGCCAGGCTGATCTTGAACTCCTGACCTCAGGTGATCTGCCTGCCTTAGCCTCCCAAAGTGCTGGGATTACAGGCACAAACCACTGTGCCAGCCTTACTGTACATTACTTTAAATAACACAAAGAAGCTAGGAAGAAGAATCCAGAAATACTGCTCAAATTTCAATTTTTATCATCTGTAGCAGAGATGATGGTATCTACGTCACAGGATTCTTTCAAGGATCAAATAACAATTACAAAATGATAAGCAATCTGGCAATCAGTATGTGCTCAATATATTAGCTATTAATAGTAAAAACCTGCTACCTGTTTGGGTAAAAGGTGACCTGTCCATTTAATACATTTTAATAGGGACTGGACAGAAATATCCCAAGCACATTAAAGATCTTATGGGCCAGGCACAGTGGCTCACGTCTCATCTCTACTAAAAATACAAAATTTAACTGGATGCGGTGGTGTGTACCTATAGTCCCAGTTACTCAAGAGGCTGAGGCAGGAGAATTGCTTGAATCTGGGAGGTGGAGGTTGCAGTGAGCCAAGATTTTGCCACCGCACTCCAAATAGGCTACTTGAGATCAGGGGGACTGCAGTATTTCCATCTGCAGTAGGAACTGTTCACATCCCAGTCTATGTCAACTACGCCCCCTAGAGTTGAAATACAGCCAATACAATCTTGCTTGAAATTTTACCAATTTCTACTCATACTTAAACCTGTAATGAACAGGCTACATTTTTAAAAATTCTCCAAGTTAATATTACCACAGTTGTTCTCTATGGCTGTATAGAACTCTAATTACTGAAGGGTTGGTGAAGCAGCCCAAGAACTTTATTTATTTATTTATTTATTTATTTATTTATTTATTTATTTTTGAGACGGAGTTTCGCTCGTTACCCAGGCTGGAGTGCAATGGTGCGATCTCGGCTCACCGCAACCTCCGCCTCCCGGGTTCAGGCAATTCTCCTGCCCCAGCCTCCTGAGTAGCTGGGATTACAGGCACGCACCACCATGCCCAGCTAATTTTTTTGTATTTTTTTTAGTAGAGACGGGGTTTCACCATGTTGACCAGGATGGTCTTGATCTCTTGACCTCGTGATCCACCCGCCTCGGCCTCCCACAGTGCTGGGATTACAGGCGTGAGCCACCGCACCCGGCCCAGAACTATATTTATAAAACAAAGAAACTGGCCTATGGGTCTTCCTTCAGCCTACCCCTCTGCCAAGGTTAGGGTGGCATGTTAAAAGTTCCAGCATGTTTGGCTGGATTCCTGATTTTCACACAAAAACTGTACCTTTAACCTGCGGCTATTTAACAACATTATTTGTATCTGTTATATTCTGTCCAGCTTTAAGCCATATTCTTCCTCACAGTCCTTCATTTTCAAATTACACCACCAAATAGTTGGCTGATTTGATAGAGAATTTAGACAGTTGAAAATCTAATGATTTGAGTTTTATATCTGCTCTGTTTTCCCTAACACTTAAAAAAAAAATCTGTTTATAGTAAATAAACCCTATCACTTTATGTCTGTTGTCCTATGATGAAATCTAGTTGACTATGAGTCATTCATTCTTCTGTATCTTTTACAAATAAAACCTCTATCAGTTTCCCTATAACTTTGAATACTGATAGCTTTTTTGAATGAAAAATCTATACCCTCAGAAAAGTTTTTTAAATTATTCTTTTCAACTGTGAATCCTGGCTGTTCTCAGGATTACAACTCTACCCTTGGGTTAAAATGATCAGAGAGCTGTGTACTTGACCACATTACCTTGGTCCCTTGTAATGAATTGTGCTTCAGCATTATGTTGCTGGTTTCCACAGGGAGATCAACTTAACCACTTCTCACCTCTCCTCACACATGGGGGAGAACCAGCCCTATGGTGAAAAAAGCTAACTCAATGTTGTCTCAGTGGTAGTGACGAATCAGTCAGATCACTTAAATTCAGTTCCAATAAGAATGCATCATTGACAACATTGAATAAAATTAACTCAGGCAACTGAAGCAAACAACCTTTTAATAAAAAAAACAAATGGCCAAGACTTTAAAAAGCAAGCTTCTAGTTTTTTACTTTACCTGCTAATGCTTCTGCTGTATCCTGAAATTTCTCAAAGTGTTTTAGCTTTACTCTAGAATTAAAAAAGAGAGAAACATGTTATGGGTGGGAGAGGGTGCAATGATTCAAAAGCCATGTAACTTAGAAAGAAGTGCATGACTGTTTCCAAAGCACACACCAATGAAACATGCCTATCATTGTGTATTGTGGGCAATGTTAGATATTCTTCATAAAATTAATAGTTTTTCTCATTTATTTATTTTTAGAGATGGGATATCACCATGTTGACCAGGCTGGTCTCAAACTACTGACTTCGTATGATCCACCTGCCTAGGCCTCCAAAGGTACTGAGATTACTGGCAGGAGCCACCACACCCAGCCAAAATTAATATTTATCTAATTGCTAGGCTAGCAATGCTTAGACTATTACAGAGAAAGTTGTAGGCTTTGAATGAAACTTGGGCCAACAGTAAAGATTCTGAGGCTTTATTAACATAAACCCCTGTTGCATAAAGCTGTACAGAGATGGCTTTATTATACAGCACAGAATTGACCCAAGGAAAAAAATGTGACCTTTTTAAGTTAAGAATCTCAGGATATTCATTTGTCTATTCTATACAAATGCCATTAAAAAATAGCCTATTGTCAGCCCGTAATCCCAGCACTCTGGGAGGCCAAGGTGGGTGGATCACGAGGTCAGGAGATCAAGACCATCCTAGCCAACACGGTGAAACTCCATCTCTACTAAAATACAAAAATTAGCTGGGCAAGGCAGCACTTGCCTATAATGCCAGCTACTCGGGTGGCTGAGGCAGGAGAATCGCTTGAACCAGAGAGGAGGAAGTTGCAGTGAGCCGAGATCGAACCACTGAACTACAGCCTGGTGACAGAGCTAGACTCTTTAAAAAAAAAAAAAAAAAAAAAAAAAAAAAAAGCTTATTGTCAGATCTCTTTCTTGTTACCCACCACTCTTTCCGTTTTTGAGACAGGGTCTCACTTCACTCTGTCACACAGGCTGGAATGCAGTGGTGCAATCACAGCTCACTGTAGCCCTGACTTCCTGGGCTCAAAGGATCTTCTAGCCTCAGTCGCCAAGTAGCTGGGCCCATCGGTATGAACCACCACACACGGCTTAGTTCTGTTTTTGGTAGAGATGGGTTTTCACTACGATGACCAGGCTGGTCTTGAACTCCTGGGCTGAAGTGATCCGCCTGCCTTGGCCTCCCAAAATGATGGGATTACAGGCATGAGCCACCACGTCCCACCTCATAGTAGTATTTTATACAGAAAGAAACATACAGTTGACTCATCGTTGTCTCAGTGGTAGTGACGAATAGAGTTAGATCACTTAGACTCAGTTCCAACAATAATACATCATTGGCAACAATGAATCTGATTAACCCCACAAAGCATATAACCCTTTAAGAAAGAAAACTCGTCTTCTATTTGCCTAAAACTGTCTTCTTTTTTTTTTAAGATAGAGTCTCACTCTGTCACCCAGACTGGAGTACAGTGGTGCCATCTCAGCTCACTGGAACCTCCACTTTCCAGGCTCAAGCAATTCGCCTGCCTCAGCCTCCAGAGTAGCTGGGATTATAGGAGAGCACCACAATGCCTGGCTAATTTTTTTTTTTTTTTTTTTAGTAGAGATGAGGTTTTACCATGTTGGCCAGGCTGGTCTTGAACTCCTAACCTCAAATGACCCACCCACTTCGGCCTCCCAAAGTGCTGGGATTGCAGGTGTAGGCCACCACACTGGCCACAGTGTCATCTTAAGCAAGGTTTTCTTATCTGGTAAGGAAAGATGCTAGTGTGATCCCTTAAATACACAGAAAAATACAAATATTTAAGACCTACACTAGGTTGGGTGCAGCGGCTCACAGCTATAATCTCAGCACTTTGTTAAGGCTGAGGCAGGCAGATAATGAAGTCAGGAGATAACGACCATCATGGCCAACATGGTGAAACCCCATCTCCACTAAAAATACAAAAACTAGCTGGGTGTGGTGGTACACGCCTGTAGTTCCAGCTACTGGGAAGGCTGAAGCAGGAGAAGTGCTTGAACTCAGGAGGTGGAGGCTGCAGTGAGCTGAGATCGGGCCACTGCACTCCAGCCTGGGTGACAGTGAGACTCCACCACATAAATAAATAAATAATAAAATAAGTCCTAAATGTTAACTTCTAAATTATTAATTTCAATATTACTTACATTTTGTTGGCTTTCTCTGGAGTTTCAAATTCTTTCCATAAACTATCAACCTCCTGAAGTTTCTTCTCATTTAGAACCTGCAATAAAATGTTTAAATGGCTTTATTTAAATGGTACAGGCTAGGCATACAAAGCTGCATCCTTCAAGTACAACCATACACGTAAAACGAGGGTGGTAGAAGCTGTTTCTTTCACTAAAATAAACAACTAGTTTTCTTACCCTGCATATATTTTTGGTCACATTCGTAGTTCAAATTGCCCATTTAACAGCTGAATGGAATTCGGATCTAGTCTGGTCAGACAGTTTATTCCCGAGTGCCTGGCCCGTATTAAACAGCTTTTAACAACCTAGAATTGCATTGTAAGAATATACCATTATTTCTGCCCTCACTGATATTTAAGTTGCTTCTAATTTTTCCTTTTTAATGTACAGAAAACATATCTTTGGCTGGGCGTGGTAGCTCACGTCTGTAATCCCAGCACTTTGGGAGGCTAAGGGGGGGTGGATTACAAGGCCTGAAGATTGAGACCATCCTGGCTAACATGGTGAAACCCCATCTCTACTAAAAATACAAAAAATTAGCCAGGCATGGTAGCACGTGCTTGTAGTCCCAGCTACTTGGAAGGCTGAGGCAGGAGAATGGCTTGAACCTGGGAGGCAGAGGTTGCAGTGAGCCAAGATCTCACCACCGCACTCCAGGCTAGGCGACAAAATGAGACTCCATCTCAACAACAACAACAAAAATCACACACACACACACACACACACACACGCACGCACACACACACACAGAGAACAGTTCTAATTGTGTATATCATGAAGCTTTATAGTGGAAAGACATCTCACCAAGTCTCACGATTATACTGAAAACACTGATTAATTTTTTTCAAATTGTCCAGAGAATCTGTTAACCATAACAAAGTTTGCCATTTTTAAGAGGATATGTATCAAATAGGGGATATGACTTATGAGTAAAATTCACATTTTTTTCTAACTGAAAAGCAAATATATCTGAAGATAACATTTGGGTAATAAAACTGGCACATTTTAAAAATACTACCACCACTGTTAAAGTAACAAAGGAAATCTAATAAAATCAGGACAATTCATGAGCACACAAAGGTCTTCAAAGACTATGTTATGACAAAACCATTACTATGACAAAACCACTATATTCCCAACTGTGCAAAAACATCTTGAAGAAAACATTGCTAACAAAGACAATCTGAATAAAAAGTTAGAGATATTGTTACATTTTCTGTTTTACATTTGTCTCAAACTTTTAATCGTTTATTTTCAGCCAAGGTAATGAGAAATATTTGTATACACAAATCCATTTTAAGTTCTACCATTTTAAATTAAGATAGAATAATCTCCATTTCTAAGTAGAAATAGTATACAACTACTATTACCATTGCAATCTTCAGCATTGTTGTTACAATATTACTAGCTTTTAAAAGTAGCTCTCCCCTGTCATCCCAGCACTTGGGGAGGCCGAGGAGGGTGGATCACCTGAGGTCAGGAATTTGAGACCAGACTGACCAACAGGGCAAAAC